AATTTTGATCAAGACTTGCAATCAAAGTTTCAACGAGTTGACTTGAATGATTAGACAGCATATAATTTTGTTAACAAGTTTATTATTCGATTCAAGTTGTAAAAATTATTTAACTCAATTTCTAAACGATAACAATCAGCTTTAAACAGTTTTGAAGTTTTTAATGTTCAAGATTTCAAACATTTTTTATTATTTCATTTTACATGTTTTATTGAATTTCTTTTATGGCTTTTTCTAATAATTTGTATATTATTCAAGTCAACTAAATTTGTTTTTGTCTCGATTAATTGTAAAGGTTTCACATTTTTTATCAAGTCGTGAAAACAATTTTGATTCGATTAATATCATTTCATTTCATCGATTAATTAAATAATTCTCTCGAATAATTTTTTTTTTCTAAGTCCAAATTTTCTGATTATAATTCTTTCGAATAATTTTTTTTTCTAAGTCCAAATTTTCTGAAACCTTTTCAATTAAGACAGACGAGTTATTTATGCATGCTGTATTATCCCAAAGCCAACATTCGAATGAATGAGGCTCACATTGAATATTTCACAACGAGAAAATTTTATTGGGGCAAAGTTAAATATTTTAACTAAGTCCCAGTAATTTTTTCTCGTTGTGAAAATTTCAACGTGGACTTCATTTCATTCGAGTGTTGGTTTTGGGAATTGGTGTGAGGGAACACTAAAAAACATAAAAAAGTTTCAACGCTGAACAGAAAAGAGAAAAATTGATCTGGGACTTAAGGGTTTTTTTTTTAAGGCTCTCCACCTCTTCCTTCCTCCTCCTCCTCTCCCTCCCTTTTTTTCCTTTTTTTTTTCGCTTTTTTTCACATTTTTTCCTTTTTTGGTGTTATTTTTTTTCACATGTTGTGGTTTTTAGGTAGATTTTTGGGTTCGGCATGCATCTTCCGCAATGTGTCTCCCTGCGTGTAACCTCTCGCATCATGGACCTCTGGTTGACCATCACTTGGTGTGTTCGTTTCAGGACCCTTTGCGCTCGCCAACAGCCAGCCACCAGCACTGCTCTACTTTTTCTGCTTTGGAGTTCCTTGTCGTCGCCTTCAGTTGGATTCGATCCTGCTCACCTTGTGCCTCCAGAGTTATTTCACCGAGTATGCGGTCCCTTAAACCACTCGGCTATTTAAGTTATTGATGATAGAAGTTATTTTCATTCTCATATTATATTAATATTGAATTTAAATAAAGAATATGTATCATACACATCTCTCTTATTCATCATATGCCTCTACCCCTCTCTTTACCCCGTGCTTCCCCTTTTTTTTTTTTTATGTATCTCTCTTACAGTCAAGTGCGAAACTTAAGTTTTTTGTTTTTCAGAAATATTCTAAGTGTCAAGGTCGAAATGCGACACCTGAATTTAATATTTTGAACTAATATTTGATATTTATGAAAAACTATACATTCGAATTTTTCAAGCAACTTGAGGATTCGAACCGAGAAACAATGAGCAACCGTAGTGGCAACTTAACGATCTCGGCCAATTAGTTATACAGAACTCCATGCTATTTGTAAAAATATAAAGTCTTATTTTGATAATGAAAACTATAAGTTTCCTAAAAACATCTAATTTCGTGTGAGCAAATGGCCGAGGTCGTAAAAATACGGTTTAGGCCGAATAGCAATTCGAGGTTTGTCAGATCGAATCCTTAATTTACCTGAAAAAAATATGAATTCAATAATTTTTCTTACTTTGTAAATGAATAAGATATATAGATAAATAATTAAATTTATTGAGTGTCAGTATTACAAAAATCGACATAATATATATTATATATGCATATATATAAATATAAATGTATGTATATATATATATAATATATATATATATATATATATATATATATAGTAGGAGGGATAATTTATAATAAATTCATATTTACGCCTGGTTAGCAGTAAACCAAACCTACTTTGGTGTAATTTAAAACTTTTACTATTTTTCCCATACAAAACCGGTTTTTCAGGGGCAGCCAAAATTGGCCAAAATCGTGACTTTCAAATGCAATTTTAAGACCCTTAATGAATGAAATTGATAATTTTTATGAATGAATTGTGTAGACTAAGGTACAATCTTTATACCAAACCAAAAAAATTACAAATTTATCATCAGCTTCATAGTTCAAATCAGCTTCAAAGTTGTCAATTTTTCAAACTTCAAGTTGGTCGTAGGGGTGGAAGGATTTTTTTTTCCAAAAACCGATTTCATATTCGGAATCAGCGCCTCGAAATCTATCAGAATCGGTCAAAATATTTTAAAAATCGCGAAAAAAAATGTTTATTTCATTAGTAAAATTTTGATTTTGCAACCAAAAATTTCCATTTTTCGCAGAGGTATGCAGATTTATCTAAAAACGGATAACATTTTCAAATTCATCGACTCCAAATCTATCAAAACATTTCGAAAATCGCGAAAAAAACTTGATTTTTTAAAAAAAAAACGACTTTGCAACCAAAGATTTCGATTTTTCGCGGGGTGTATGTGGATTTATCCAAAAACGGATAGCATTTTTGAAATCAGCGTTTTAAAATCTTTTGGAATGAGTTAAAATATTTCAAAAATTGCGAAAACAAATCCATTTATTTGCCAAAATTACGAAAGATTTCGTTGTTTTGCAGTGGTACACGCCCTGAAAGCTCATCAAACAGGATAATTTCGTCTTTTTCATCAAAAAGACTTTGCCCAATTAGTTATTGATTATATTTTTCCTTTACTATAAGGGAGACCCACGATTTATGGTTCCTTTTAAGGCATTCTTATAAGTATAAGCACCTGTAATAAGAATAAATAATTATTCTATGGATATACCTAATTGAATATATTAAATATCAAGTTCAAATCATGGACTATTATAAAATATTCAGGGATTTTTTGACTAAGTTTTTGCCGCTTTGTTTTTTTAATTTTGGAAAACATTGCATTCTTTTTTTTGACATTGTTTGGATATTTGCCCGTAGGTATAGTATACCTCATCGTGGTTTTGTAAACAATAATAGGTATAAATTAATATAAAAATGATGTCATAATCATCATAAATACATTAAATTCTAATATTGTCATAAATGCATAAATGTGCGACAAAAAAAGAACGGAAAATTTTCCTAAAAAGAAAAAAAAGAAAAGAAGGAAAGCGTCGATGGACAGCTAGCTTAGGCACCAGCATTCTATATTTTAGAGTATGTGCTATAGAAAATGCATACGAATGACGGATCCCAGACAGCACAAGACATGCCAGGGAATGTCCCACTTGTCCTCACAATCTCCTAATATCGCGATATCCTATGAATATCCTATGAATATGCAACGGGACGTCTCAAAAACAAAGGACTCGAGCAGGTATAACGCTCGATTCACGAACATGTCGCTCTCGTACGCGCACGGCTTGAGACCTCGAAACGTATATGTTTGTCCCTTTCTCTTTCGTCGCGTCGGTTTTGCGTCCTTCGTCCTTTAAGGTTAAGCTAAGCGTCATCAACAGACGGCTTATATGTCGAATTATCATAGTTTTTGAGAAATAAGTAGATGAAAATTTTATTTGTTCTATATAATTATATGAGCGTGTGTTATAAATAATTAATATTATCGATCAAAATACTCTAAAATTGTGTAATAATAGTGGAAATTTTATGTGTTCTATATAATTATATGTGCGTGTGTGTTATAAATATTGCAGCCAACATATTGAAAAGGGGGCAGATATAAACGATGGTTAATTAAAGCTTTCTGTATACTTTATTTGAAATACTATGTTACTAGTACAAATAGAAATTTTAATTTAATGCTGACATTTCTACCCTGCCAGCTTTCCAGCAACCATGCCTAATTTTGTATCAAATGCTGTGTGTTTGAAAGAGGATTGAGAAAGAAGAAATGCTCTCCACTATGTTTGTTGGAGGAGTTTCAACTTGTGGGGCTATATTTCTGAGCAAAAATATCAAAACACAATTGGTAATCAAAAGTTTATATAGATTTATTTTTATTGTTAACTTTATCATATACTAACCAAACTTTCTCTTTATATTCTGTATTTAGCCATCAGAGTCCAGCTATGAAAATCCATTTTTGATGATGGTTGGACAAAGAATTTTGCTAGGGACGAGGAAAGGGCAAAATAAATTTTGTGATTTAGTGCCTTGCGATGTCATCACAGGTAAATTATATATCTTATACTTATGATTGTGTTTGTAATGTATGAATTAAACTAATATATAATTAATTCCAGGAATTGCTTTGAAAAATTTGCCGCATGAGACATAGTTTACTGTTTCAGAGGCTGCAAAAAGCTGGCTGCGATGTGCCATAAATATTATACAAGGTATTTTTGTGAGATGTGTACTATATGTTTTTCCTATTTACAAAAAAATCATGATTATTGACTGGTAGTTGTATCAATGTTAGTGCAAAATTTGTGCTGTGTACACATTTTTAGATGTAAAAAAACCAAGTTTAATATTCACTCGTAATGACATCAAATTGTGTCGATATATTTGGAATTAGAGATTATTTTTTAAATCTCTGTCTATTTGATTGATGTATCGCTCTTAAAGAACTTACTCATATATATATATATTATATACATATATATGCATTTATTCATTTGTTTTCTATTCAGGAGAGGAAAATCAACCATGAACTAGGATTTGAATGCCGAATTAATTATATTTTTTAATATTGTAAAATAAGTTTTTTGAATTAAAGTTGTATATATTAAATTTTGTTATAAAATATCTCAGGATTTTGTTATTTGTAATAAAAGTTTACTTGTGAAATTGGTTCTTTTATTTTATTTTTAATCCAATTTATTTTTCATCTAAAAAGTAAAAAACAATTCCATAATGATATCCTATTCATGTCGGTTTATGTCCGGAATATCCCGCGCGGGATATCCTACAGAACGTCCCATAGGTTGCGACAATTAACATGTTTCGGATAAGGTCAGGATAAGCGGGATATCCGTAAGGCTATCGCAGGGACATGTTCTATTCTACAATATGAAATTTAGCATTAAATTCTTTAACCCATTTTTCTAAATTGTAATATCCATGTGACCGCCAATATATATTATTCATTATATCCTCCGTTGCCGTTTGTAGATGCCGTTTTGCCGATTCAATTCCCAACAAATCCAGTTCTTTTGCAAATGCAGCCAACTATCAACAAACAAAATCTTTATTCTACTATCGAATTAAAGTGTAAAATCAAAATAATTTTGCAGTCTGTGATGAACTAAGTGTTCTTTACTAAAGTTTGTTATGATGTCACTGTAAAGGCACTAGGAAATATATTAACTTTTCTTTACTAATATTTTGACTCTAAATAAAAGACTATAATAAGTGTCAAAGACCATGAATTAAATTCAATTACCTTCTTTTTGTCAGAATCTTTGTTCATGTATAAGGCTAAAGCGTGGATCATTTTCTTGACCGTTGAGAACCCTTCTCCATAACTGCAATGACAATACGTACAACATTACTATGGTAGCACTGCAACTTTGATTGCATATACTATTTCATATAAATATTATTCACATCCAACACATTATGTACTTAGGCATAATAAAATCAAATGTTATTTATTAATTACACTGCAATTTTAATAAAATAAAACAAACGGATAAATAATTGTTATTCACACGAATTCATCTAGGACAATCATTAAAATAAAAATTATTATTATTAACACACTCATTCTAAATGTATGTGATCACAACCATATTAAGATGATTATTATTTAGAATGCAATCAAGAGAACTTCTGATATAATGATATAATGTGGTGAAATGAATGAAATCATTTATTTGTCATGAAGTCGATACTTACTACTCATAGATTTTTTTAAAGTTATCAATAAGATGTGAAGTTGCCAAATCAAACCCATGCTTATTTCCAGCAACAACTTCAAAAATTAAAGCACCATCTTGTTTGCTAAATGGTGAATTGGGTTCCAATGTCATTTCCAAGTACCTAAATTAAAAAGTAGAAAGATTTATTACTTTCAAAAATATAATAGTAGTGTTTGCAATTTTACTAATAAATTTAATTATTAAATGCTGAATTTGTATTAAAATTTATGGCTAATACCAAGCTAACACATCATTTTATTTTTATTACCTTGCAAGAATCCAAGGATCTCTTGAGCATCCCATAGCACTGAGTAAAGTCATTTTCTCTGACGGAACATTTGATGCTTTGAATTTTTTGAAAGCAAAATCCCATTCCTCCACATTGCCTTGCTTGATTCCAGCACAGTATACAGGTAACCTCACATCTGGTGAAATTCTGCAAAAACAAGATATTACTTTTTATTATATATAAATATATATATATATATATATATATATTTATTTATATTTTTTTTTTTTGCTATGTACGCCGTCGAGTGATGAACTCGCATAATATTGGGGCATTACTTATGTGCTTTTTTAATTTTCTCTCTTTATTAATTACTATTAATTTAGTGTTTAATAGATTTTATATTTTTTGTGTTTTCCTGGTTTGATTACTGAATGATGACACACATTAAGTGTTGAAACGTTTAATAGAATAAAGATATTTTCGATTTTAACCTTTTTTAATTCAACGATAAATATATTATATATTATATACAAAATATAAAAGTAAAAATCCAAGTCCAGGAAGTAAATAAAGAAGAGATAAGTGGGAATATGCATTGATAATTATTATAAGATAATATAGGATTATGCTTTAAACATACGGATTGTGTTCTTCATCCCTCATCCATAATCTCATCATATATTGCGCTCTATTGAGACAGTCTGGATGGTCTAGTGCGCATGCTAAATTAATCATCAGAGGACGATGCAATTTTGTCAAATGATCATCATCTGGTTTTTCTTCAAAATCTAATTGACGATAAATACCATTGACTGCAGCACGCATGAATGTCTGAAACAAAGCAAGAGTTATTATAATCTGAAATTATTTTCAGTTTCCATTATGACTATTAATCGCAGAAGTAGTATTTATTATACTTTAAATAATCATACTGAGTTACAACTGTTCTTAACTATTAACAGTTGATCATAGATAATCTTTAACACACACACACACACAACATATATATATATATATATATATATAAGTGTAAATCTTATAATATTTTAGTTTATATTAAAACTATTTGTGAAAATTCTCATAAAATAGACAAATTCTTACTCTGAATGCTCCATAAGCTGGCTCTCTACTCATCATCCTGTTTAAATGCAAAATAGGCCTAGAAGCTGATTGCCATGCTACTGGACTCATATCATGAGACAATCTGGATGCAAATATAAGCGGAATTTCATATTCCAAAAGATGAGCTCTTGCTAAAGCAAATGAATCGTCCAGTAATTGCGCTCTAGTTAAATCAGGCAGTTCATAGTAGGCTTCAATGAGGAGGTTCCAGTTTCATTGTCATAGTTAACACGATAGAACCCTTAGAAAGATAAGTTTGTGATTCATCTTTCATATTGTACTGTTTTTGTTTATTATGAATAACTTAGTATTGAAATTTCATAAAACACTTTAAAAAATAGGTTCAAATATTATCCATTTGATTAGACTCATGATAATTTTACTTGTAAATAAAATAACTTTTACAAATTATATGTACTGTATGTACTCATTTAATAGTTTCATGTAATTTTAAAAATTAGTTACCTGTTTGATTTAGATTAGCAAGAATATAATCATTTTCGTTAGCTTTCGGCGGAGTAAAGCTCAAGGAATCCGATTTTGGAGACAACCATAGTACAGGTTTAGTTGTGGCATTGAGATCAGATGCTGATGTTTAAACTGATGGGAAGCCAACAGCGAGAACCGTCGAATGAATCAGTTGAAGGTAGAATGAATTTTACTCTAAAAGTTTGAATTTCAATCACTTGAAATTATTATAAGATAATATAGGATTATGCTTTAAACATACGGATTGTGTTCTTCATCCCTCATCCATAATCTCATCATATATTGCGCTCTATTGAGACAGTCTGGATGGTCTAGTGCGCATGCTAAATTAATCATCAGAGGACGATGCAATTTTGTCAAATGATCATCATCTGGTTTCAGAGGACGATGCAATTTTGTCAAATGATCATCATCTGGTTTTTCTTCTTCAAATCTAATTGACGATAAATACCATTGACTGCAGCCGCATGAATGTCTGAAACAAAGCAAGAGTTATTATAATCTGAAATTATTTTCAGTTTCCATTATGACTATTAATCGCAGTAGTATTTATTATACTTTAAAATAATCATACTGAGTTACAACTGTTCTTAACTATTAACAGTTGATCATAGATAATCTTTAACACACACACACACACACACACATATATATTTATATATATATATATATATATATAAGTGTAAATCTTATAATATTTTAGTTTATTATAAACTATTTGTGAAAATTCTCATAAAATAGACAAATTCTTACTCTGAATGCTCCATAAGCTGGCTCTCTACTCATCATCCTGTTTAAATGCAAAATAGGCCTAGAAGCTGATTGCCATGCTACTGGACTCATATCATGAGACAATCTGGATGCAAATATAAGCGGAATTTCATATTCCAAAAGATGAGCTCTTGCTAAAGCAAATGAATCGTCCAGTAATTGCGCTCTAGTTAAATCAGGCAGTTCATAGTAGGCTTCAATGAGGAGGTTCCAGTTTTCATTGTCATAGTTAACCCGATAGAACCCTTAGAAAGATAAGTTTTTGTGATTCATCTTTCATATTGTACTGTTTTTTTTGTTATTATGAATAACTTAAGTATTGAAATTTCATAAAACACTTTAAAAAATAGGTTCAAATATTATCCATTTGATTAGACTCATGATAATTGTGCTTGTAAATAAAATAACTTTTACAAATTATATGTACTGTATGTACTCATTAATAGATTCATGTAGTTTTAAAATTAGTTACCTGTTTGATTTAGATTAGCAAGAATATAATCATTTTCGTTAGCTTTCGGCGGAGTAAAGCTCAAGGAATCCGATTTTGGAGACAACCATAGTACAGGTTTAGTTGTGGCATTGAGATCAGATGCTGATGTTAAACTGATGGGAAGCCACCAGCGAGAACCGTCGGATGAATCATTTGAAGGTAGAATGAATTTACTCTAAAAGTTTGAATTTCAATCACTTGAAGAATTCATTAATGTTTTGATCTGGTGATATCCATTATTAGCTTTAAACTCGAAGTATACACATTTGTAATACAAATTATATATTTATTTATTAATAATCGGTCAATAGACTAATTTTAGATTATTTTTTTTAATATAATTAAATAGACAAATAGAATTTTTTTTATCACCTGTGTGAATGTTACTTCCTTTCCATGCCTTTTAACATCTAAAACTGGAAATCCTGCTTGTAAAGTCCAAGTATCCATAATATCTTTTACAGTTACGTTTGCAGGTAAAATCTGTAAAATTATGACGAATAAAATAATTAACTTTATTAAAAAGTTTACTTCATATCGTTACGTGAATTCGCTTCTTTTCATAATAATTTTACCTGTTCAGAACTCTGCAAAGCTTCCGCTGTTAAATCGGCAAATAATTCATCTTGTCTGGCATTAGCATGAAGATGGGCATTCAAATATCTTTTCAGGCCAGATTTAAAAACGTTTGCACCAAGAAAATGTTCCATCATACGAATTATGGAAGCACCTTATAATTAATTATATTAAAATCACCTATCTTATAAAAGATAAAACTAATCATAAAACAAATCAAACCATATGTATTACCTTTAGTATAAGAAATGGGATCAAATATTCTTCTAATTTCGGCATCTGTGGAAACTGGAACAGAAAGCGGGTGCGAAGATTTACTGGCATCATCGTTCATGCACTCTTGGATTTCATTAACCAAAAACTTATCGGTCATTCGCCATGTGGGGTGAGCCTACGACAAAAAACATTATTTTTTGTACAATTTTTATAAATTAAAATAATTTGGAGGTACTGAATGAGTTATTAAAATAACCAATATAATTCTTCCAGTTATGTTAACCGAAAAACGGAAACAGTTTTTGGGTTAATTATGAATTAAGGCAGACAAATATCAATATTACTTGGGCTGTTTTATCAACTTTTATAAAATCGCAGAAGATTTTGAACAATAAGCATCCATAATTTTTCTCACAATCGCTTTTATGAAGGACACTTTTGCTAATCTGAATATTTCTTCTATCTATGTCAAAAAATGAATTAGTCGAGTTGAACAATGTTAATTCAGAGTGCAAGTTATTACGAACATTATTGAATAATTAAGTTTAACTCACATAATCGACGCCCATAAATTCGACGTAGGTTGCAAATCCTTCCTTAAGCCAAAGATCGTTCCACCAGGCGGGTGTGACCAGATTGCCAAACCACTGATGGGCAAGTTCGTGGCTAATTACTGTAGCGACAGTTTCTTTGCGACTTTCTGAGGTAATTTTATCAGCTATCAACATTGCAGACTCCCTAAAAAAGAATATAAAATTATATAAGTATTATCATAAACACAATACTGAATAATAATTAATAAAATCAACTCTATTTCCTGATCTCTATCAATTGTTGAATTCGTTTACCTGAATGTTATTAGGCCCCAATTTTCCATAGCATTGAAACCGAATTCAGGAACAGCAACGATATCAATTTTCGGCATAGGAAAATCAATTCCAAAGTAACCCTGGTAATACTCTAACAAGGAAACTGAAAGATTTCTAGCGTATTCTGTCTGATCTAGCACTTCAGGACGTGACCAAGCTCTCAATGGGAATGATTCTGTGGAAATAGCGTATTTTATCCATCAATTTTCAAACTATTATTTATAATACCGAAATACGTTAACATATTTATAACTTTATTTAAATATTATATAGTAATTTTAACATAATAACATACTTCCTGTGCCTGGGATCGGTACTATTAAAGTTTCGCTGCCCATAAGATCAGAAACAATAAATGCTACTAAGTATGTAGACATCTTAATTGTTTCTGGGAAGAAATCGATTGTGTGACCAGGTTTTGAATCACTATAAAGAACATAACGATGAATCAATTGAGCAACTACAACAATTTAAAATAAATGTCAATAAATAAATAATTACGACGGTTCTGATCTGTCCATCGGCATATTTGAGATAGTCCTAAGTTCGTTCGGTCGCTCCATGGATATCTCGAAGGTTGCTTTTAAGGCAGGCCGATCGAAACACGGGAAAGCTCTTCTCGCATCGGTCGGAGAAAATTGTGTTGATGCTAGCCATCTGAAAAATAAACTACTGTTATAGATTTATCGTTAGAGTTACCATTTCTGGATTACTTCTTTATTTATTTATTTATTTAACTCCAATGGCAATGATTCAATATAATTACATTTCACAATTTGCAAATTATAAACCAAAGAATATATCGATTAGAAAATTAAAGGATTTAAGAGTTCATAAACTGTTTTTAAAATATATACATAACACTTGGAATAAACTACAATTATACAAAATAAAGAATAACTAATATAAAACATTCAATAAAAACTATAATTCACTACTTATAGCAGTCATTTGACTATTATTTTTTATGTTACTCAGAAACAGTCCAAATATATCAATCATAGAAGCAAAATCATTGATTATCTTGAATATACTAAACATTGGAGCACGCAAAACAAATTTAGTTTTAAATACAGGTATGTCCACGATTCTATCATTCCGTAATTTAACATTTGGCACAGTAAATTTGAAACGTTCCAAAAGTTCAGACCCATCCGAATCACCTTTCACAATTCTTGATTCATAGCAGAAGGTGAGATATTTTCTTTTAACATTGAGAGAAGTATTGTCAAGATAATTGTATGTTTGGAACCGACTCATCAGAAAATTGTTCTTGCAGAATCTGATGTGATTGACAATTTTTTTCTAGACAGATTCAATTCTATTAATCTGATATTGATTTATCGGAACCCAAATTATATACTCATAATTATAAAATTTAAAATTGTATTTATATTGACACAATTAAAGTTCGGATTTTGATTTATTTTACTCCCCGACGGTTTAATTTCTATTTTGCTAATTATATATTTGTAAGCAATAGCTGAAAATATATTTTGCATTGTGCATTGCAGCTTTGATTTCTTTTTTTGATTAAGATTATGATTGTTTCTCGCACTTTTTATTTATTTAGATCATTGTAGGGGTCACCAGTTGAATTTGATAAACTTGACTTAAATTGACTTGTGGTCTTCTGACCATTTTCATTAATTGGGGTACATATTGTATACTTCTTTTATACATAAATGCATAGAAATATGAGTATCAGAAAACAAATTGGTTCAAATTATTTTTCGTAAGGGTCAAACACGCGCAAATTACAGTAACTAAATATTCATAGTCATATTTACTTTACGCTAAATATGGTAGTTATTTATAGAACATTTAATATGCATAAATGCATAAAATTTCCATAAATTGTTTGTTATTCAAGCGAATTTTTTGTATGTTCTTATTTAGTGTCATCAAATTGCATACACAAATTATTTGAAGTGATGGCACTTAATTTAGTGTTCTTAAATTTCTTAATTAATAATGAATCAAAATACTGAGATGAAAAGCAAATAAAATAAATTTGAAGAGTGTATTTATTTTTTCATGCCAATATTTAGCAATACTTTAATTTTTCTAAATTCCATAAAAATTAAAATGATAATCTATAATTAAACTACAGTAGAATAAATTTAAAATAACTGAAAAATTTAATTATTTCACTATAGCATTGTGAGAAATATTCCGTTCAATTATTGTAAGACAAGTGAAAAGGCTAGGATATTCTATAATTAATGCATATGATTCTTAATTTTCATACTCGATTATTAACTTCCCGTAGGGTAAGTTATAGTAATCGCAAAAAAATCGAAAATGAAAATTTTTATATATCTTTACGTTTCAGAGGTTTCTGAATATTTTGGCATACTTTAGAAAAAATGGATGTATGTGCGTGTGTGTGTGTGTGTGTGTGTGTGTGTGTGTGTGTGTGTGTGTGCGTGTGTGTATGTATGTGCGGATACAAATTTTCGTCGACGATTTTGGGAACACGGATCAACCGATTTGAATAATTCAAAAAACATTCGATTCGTATTGATAAGGAGACGTGCTGATTAGTTTTTGGCAAAGGCAGGTCTAGCCGTTCCGGAGATACGGGGCAAAAAGTGCCGAAAACGATAACTCAGTTTTTAAGAGAACGGAGCGTCCGATTTTATAACTCAAAAACATTTTACTTGTATTGACAAGATAAAGAATTGATCAAATTTTCATAAAGGCAGGTCTAGCGGTTTCGGAGATATAACGATAGAAGTAAAAAAAATGCCATTTGGCGGTCTAAAATGATCATTAGAGATATGCACATCAAATTTTCAGATATTTTTATAGAGATTTTAACAATAAGTATAAATTTTTTTATTTTCCTATGGGTTCCGTATCAATGTTTACCCGTTAGACAGCGACGCCGCGCTTACGCGCTTTATATTTCGTCTCTATGCAGTTAAAGCAGTACGATTGCTCTGAAAAACAAGTTCAGATCTTCCAAAATATGTCACAATAAAAAAAAAAATTTTTAAAAAAATAAATTAAAAAAAAATAATTTTTTGTCCAATTTATGGTTTCTCAAAAATCTTATTTTTTCGAAGTAAATTTTTTTCAATTTTTCAATTTTAATCGTTTTTAAAAAAAATAATAATTTTTGGTACGGGAAGTTCCAGCAATTTGCCTTAAGGCACGATGCCTTAATTGCCTTAAGACAGAATTCCACTTACAGCTAGTTTCCAATTGCAATGTTAGCAATGATCGATTCTACTAGTATCGAGTAACGTTTTGAAAACATATTTCATTCCACATTATTGGATTTCGTTATGTGAAATCGTACACGAAGCTATCCAAATATATGTAGGGCCTATTGTCACGCACGTTCTGACCTTAGATTTAGAATGAAAACATTTCAACACACAGTAAATATACATAACATTTCGTAATAGTCATATTTATTTGTCATAGAAATGCGTTATTCAGTGTCAAATAGTGTTATGACTATAAAACTATAGTATTTCATGTTAGTAGACATTTTTATTTATTATTTGAATAGCGATCAGAATTTGGGTCCTGATATCCTAAGATCTTCTATGCTGGTGTGACTTAAATATAACTACGCCGGTTTTATAGATGGCAACCTAAACCGTCATCCTTTGTCTATGTGATAAATTTTCAATTTTACAATTTCTGTAATAATGATTTTTGTATTGATGTAAAAACCAAAGTCACTACTGCCTGATATCAGGCTACCAGAGGCGGATGTCGAATCTGGTGTCTTGACTAAACTTCCGTAGTTGTAATACCTAATCTACGGGCGGGCACTAAAGTTGAAACTCATTCTATCAATAAGTTAGATAAAATGTTAGACAAAACCAAACATTTCCTATCAAAGAGTCGGTGAAATACCTTGGCATCCACCTGGATAGGAAATTAAATTGGAAACAACATATAATTAATAAAAAACAGCAATTAGATCAAACCTTTAAAAAATTCTACTGGCTACTAAACAAAAATTCTGAACTATCAGTTTACAATAAACTGTTAATATACAAGGTGGTACTCAAGCCCATATGGACCTACGGTCTCCAACTTTGGGGTACAGCAAAAAAAAGCAATCTGAACATCATCCAAAGTGCTCAAAACAAAATCCTGAGGCAAATATTAAACGCTCTTCGCTACACCCCTTTATGGATTATCCATCAAGAAACAGACTTGCTCACAATAGAGTAGCAAATTTTAGTGGTTGCTTCTAAATATAAAAATAGGATTGACGTACATCTCAACGAATTGGCCAGCAGAGTTTACTTGGATAGTCAGCCGACCAGATTGAAAAGAAAGTTGCCACAAGTCCTTATCTAGCCCAGTTAAACATAATTACTATTCTTTGTTATGTTTTATTTGATTGTTTGTTTTTTCTTATCGTTTTTTTTGTATTTCTTTTCTTTTTTTATTTTATTACTATTATTATTTCTTATTATTATTAACATGTGTTATATATAATACCTAGTAAACAAAAATGTATCTAGGGAACTTAATACATAAAAAAACAAAATTCCTGAAAAAAACACTATTTTTATATCACATATATAAAAAAAAACAAAATTCATGAAAAAACACTATTTTTATATCACATATATACGACTCACGATGCTCTATTTTACAGCATTGCACCGGATTCTTCACCGACATCATATGTCTGTCTTAATTCTTCTTAAATGACATATTTTCACAGCAAAATGTGTAGAGAAAATTACTGTAAACGTCGCCGTGACAAAAGAATGATGTATCGTCGCACGTGTTTGTTACAGTGACCTACTGCGGCCAATATTTGAATAAGTTTCCTTGTAAACAATCGTATGCAGTTAACAGCGAACGCATTTGTACAAACAAAACGCATTGATATTTCAGACTATTTGTCCATTTCATTAATATACATTGGAGCATTGGCAGCTGATGAGTTAAAATTCGAAATTATTCAATTTGCCTCCCAATGGCCATTAGGTGCCCTTAATATTATAATAATTATAATTATATCATTTAGTATTAAATCTTTAATACCATTTAAAACACAGATTTTTATTCGATTTATGTGCTAACATGCTTCATGGTATTATATATTAGAGCAGAATTTTTCAGTAAATTACTGACTTGCAACTTTGGCAATACAGTACAATTGTTTATCATTTTTTGATTAACATATTTATTATTACAATTGTAAATTACTAGTTTTAGAGAATTTACAAGTTTTTTAGAATACTTCATACATTATTCTTAAATCTCTCTTTGTGCTAACTGGAAAAACCAAAATCGAAATTAAAAGAAAATTCTCAATAGGATATATTGAATCTCTTCTCACAAAAACTAAATTTAAGTTATTTGTATTACTTTACGAAAAAAAGTATGGCTAAAAATAGAATATCGTGCATAATTTAATTACGAATGTTTTAAATTGTAATGTAACTTTTTCAAATTCATCCTGGATTTTATTATCTATAAATATACAATATATCTATAGTATATCTTCCAAGACAACCTGTTTAAAAATCGATTTAACAAAATATTGTTTTACTGCATTCTGCTTTGTTCCATCCGCTCATTTTTGTATCAATGATCAATCAAACATATTCTTCAAATATAATAATATAATAGCGAAAAAATAAATATAATCTCTCTATAACTGTGAACAT